GATGCGAGGGGCGCCACGACAGCAACTAAGACATTTAAAAACAGTAATCTAAACAAATAGTAACGAATAACCAGATCAATAATTAATCAATACTAACAATTTTCACATTAAAATATCAGCAGTTATCACACAACATAGGGAAAATATCTGACTAAACATTATAAACACTACTAGATATATCCTAGACCTATCCTATTATAATTTACTGAAACTATGCTCAACAAATCTTTAGCACTTTGTTAGCACGAAAGTTTTGGGAGAGTTTCGATTTTTATCTATTGGTAACTGGGATTTGCAAATTCTTAAACAAATTAAAATAAAAAAATATAAATCAAAATGATTTGTTCGTGGTATTTTACTTATAACTCAAAAGCTGTAAATTTGTAATGCAATTTTTTGTAAATAACCCTTCTTTCTATAATTCTTGTTGTTATAGATTTTTTAAAAACAAATTTGTTTGGTTCAAGAGCCAGCAAAATTGACAGTTTTAGACTGACTGCTTTACTTTTTTACTGCTTTTTTTGCACGCCCTTTATTTGTTATTAATGGCTGATATGCTCTAAAATTATATGAGGCAAAAATTCATTCGCAAGAAGCTGAAGAGGATCCTGATATCCTTATTATAAAAAAAGCTTATAAGTTTGCCTCATTAATTAAATTACTTTATTAACAGTAGTGGGAAAAGATATCAATCTTTTGGTGGCTTTGATTGTTCCGGATTGAATATTTAGTAATACACAGAAGATGGTAGTGGAATCGTAGAATTTTCTCATTTGCGCAAAATAAAGGAATGCATTTCAATCACTGGCTGAACCTCATTTTGAAGCCGACAAAACTATATCCGATCATATACCATATACCTACTGATTCAGCACGAAATAATTGATTGTGAAAAAGAAATGAAAAGTTTCTTAAATTCTTATAGAAAAATAACGGAACTGCTTGCAACTAAATACTAATGTTTTCAAAGATCACTTATGCCAGAACGAAACTGCCGAAGTTGGAATTCTAGTTCTTATAACTCGGATTCAGCACGAAATAATTGATTGTGAAAAAGAAATGAAAAGTTTCTTAAATTCTTATAGAAAAATAACGGAACTGCTTGCAACTAAATACTAATGTTTTCAAAGATCACTTATGCCAGAACGAGACTGCCGAAGTTGGAATTCTAGTTCTTATAACTCGATATACCGGGTGCTTCTCAAAAGTTGGTCGCCTCTATAACTTGTATATTTTTTCAGATGAAAAAACGAGATTTGGTATGTAACTATACGACATAAATTAGGATTAATTGACGTATCCTATTGTTTTTGGTCACACTGTTTCACCGGAAATTACTACAACTTGTGATTTTTAAATGGCACCCTCGGTATATTTCTACTTTATGACATATGTCATAAAGTTGAAATTGTAATATGCGGTTCATAAAGACAATTTGACTCGAAATACCAAGTGTGTGGTACCAAATTATTCGTAAAATTATGGTATATTCTTTTTCCAAATATGCTAATGAGCCGCCACCCTTGTTCCATTTGAAAAAATTGAGATATGATTAAAAATACGATTAGGACATCTTTTAGCCGGCCAGGACAAGACACAAAAAAGATTAGATGATCAAATCTATTTTTCCAGGGTTCCTTGTTTAAAAATGAGTGTTATTAACAGTGTCATGGTACTCTAGATTGAAATTTAAACTATAATATATATTTTTTGAGCAAAAATGTCAAAAGTTGACATATGATATATCATTCTACTCTGAGTGTCATTTTCTATCGAATAAAGTAGAAATATACCGAGGTGCCATTTAAAAATTAAAAGTATTAGTCATTTCCGTTGAAACAAGAAGTGACCAAAAACAATTGAATACGTCAATTAACCCTAATTTCTGTCATATACTAACATACCAAATCTCGGATTTTTTATCTAAAAAAAAAATAAAAAAAGTAATAGGGGTAAGTCACTTTCGAGACGCTCTCGGTATAGAAAAAACGACGAATTGAACGAAGAGAAGAATTTTGAAGTATCTTTAAGTGAAAATTTATTGATAAAGTAGCATAAATATGCTTAGTTGTAGTTAAAGTATAGTATTGAAAGAGAGTTATAATAACTATGGGGAGGCGCCAGATAGGGCACTCGCCCGGTCTCCACATTTTCCTTCCGCCGGTCCTGCTTATTCAAGACTCGGCCTATATAATATCCAGAAAATCGACAAATGCAAATTTCATATGAAATACGAGTAGCTAGAAAACTGTTAATAACGTAGTTTAAGTGCATTTGTTCACAACAATCATTCAAATCAATGCATGAACGATTCGAGGTGCAACGCGAACGTAGTCGCGGGAAAAAAGCTAGTAGTTTAATAAAGTTCCTTGTGATAAAAATATTTCGATTATTCCTTGAATTATTCTGGATGCATGTGCTATGCGCGAGGCCTGCAAATGATCGAGTAATGAACAGCAAACAAGTCATACACCGCGAGTACTATTCTCAATTCAACTAATTCTTTTAGAGGTGATTATTTCAATTCAGAAAAATATTAACCAACTTTTTCAAACCACAGGAACTTTAACAAGACATCTTATTACTTTGCAATTATTTTAGACAAACTCAAAATTACTTAACTTTAAGGGGTTATAAACTTATTGTCAACTGATATTTCTGTTAAACATGACAGTGAACATACAGGGTGACGTTTGTATCAATAGGTATTTTAGAACCTCTAGGTTTATTTATTTCTCTGATGTCTTAGCATTAATATAGTTAATTATAAATTTAAAACACTTCATGCTAATTAATTTACATAATGAGTGTGTCACAATGAGCTTTAAAAACCTAAATGTCAACAAAGAGAAATTATGAAAGTGCATTTTTTATATGTAGTTATATTTTTAATTTATTAATTACAGATATTAAATCTACTAATTAATTAGCTTATTCCTAGTGGTTTTAGTTCATAAAAAATAGATAAACTACTTTATAACGTCATTAAATTTATTATTCTTATTTTATTTATATTTTTTTTATTTATTATTTCTTATTTTATTTATATTTTTTTTATTTATTATTATTCTTATTTTATTTATATTGATAAATTGAACACTGCTTGGTGGTAAAACTAAAATCTTTTGTGGACAATAAGTGGATAAATAAGCAATAAATTAAATTAGCACTAATCAATTAACAGTTATAATAATTAAATATGATTAAAATTAGTTTGGTGAGTATTATTCTTCTCCTTTAGCGAGAAGTTATTAATCAACGGCATTTTGATTATAAAAAAATATAATTTTATTTCTATTTTTCTATTCTCAGCAGGTACTCAAGTCTCTTTTGCTATTGTGAATTTTTGATATATTTATTAATACTTAATTAATATGTTTGGATTAATTATCTTCAATAATTTATTATAATTAACCCTCCCCCTCCCCCAATTTTATGTTACTATTACCATCAATTTTTATTCTTATCTTATTAATTATTGCGTTTGATATTTAAAATATTATGTGCAATATTTATAAGATAAAATGATTTTGCTGCTGACTGGTAATTGTTCTTTTATACTTACAACTAACGATATTAACAAAACTATATTTTTATATATTTATGAGGAGTTATTTAAAGAAACAAAGAATATTCTATTAGAAATTAAATATAACAAATTAAGATGAATAATTACGAAGAAGAAAAAAGATAAATTAAAAGAATGAACGAAAAATAAAATAAAAATTTTGAAGAAATTAAAGATTTGATTATACAATTTGGTGCATTTTTACATAACTTTTTTTCTATCTGTAGAGATAAGAAAACAATAAGTATTTATGGATATTTATCATTTCAGATGTATCTCATCAACGTTTTGTAGCATCAAGGCGTTGTTTATAAGAAATAAACTCTAATCTTTGATAATACTCTCGTCATTTCTTCAGAAGAACAAAATTATATTTTCAGATGCTTATTGCCAATTTTTTAATGAACTATGGTATTTTTATAATAAAATAACAATAAACAATGATGAAAACATGAAATAAGATGAATTGGATGTTTGGATGAATACTATAATTATTTATTAGTTCATATGGGCTATGACAATTATTATTGTTCTTCTGGCAAAAATAACAGATATATTTATACTTGCATAACAGCTCTTTTATAGGAATTGAGACAAATTTTATCAAAAACTGTAGTACTTAAAAGATGAAAAATCTTGAATAAGAATGATTGGAAGATAGATAATTAAACAACTTAATGTATCTATTATACACCTCTCAGTGTTTTTAGTAACAAGAATGCTACATTTTTAGATCATTCTTATTAAAATGTTTTGCAGAATTAAGATACTTTTCGTAAAAAATTAACTCAATCACTGACTGATTATCATTTCTTCCTTTAATCGGGTTTTTACCAGGACTCATCGGTTCTAGAACATGAAAATTACATTTAGCTGTTTGTTTCCAATTTTTATTAACGACTTAATCCATCAATTAAATAAAATAACAATAATAATTGATGGAAATGTAGAATAAGACGAATTGGAGGTTTAGAGAAACACTATATTTATAAATACTTGTTATCAGCTTTGTTAAGAATGCAATTTAAATGATATAAATGATGATGCATCCTAATAACTGGATGAAATAATAGAATTAAATACACCCAATTTAATTAAACAATTTTACGTATTCATCATAATTTTTTGTGAAGATACGGTATTTATATTAGAAAAATTAGCAGGTGTTACTGATAAAAGGTTTGAATTAAAATAATTTAAGATGTATAATAGAAAACATCCTGATGCAGTCACTCTAATTGCAGTTTTGACACTACAATAGAGAAATACACTTTAGACCTAATAATAATCAGGATTTTTATAAGAATCAAGGGGATGCCAAAGATTTCTTGAAGAAATTAGGTACATGAAAGACGAAAAATAACATCTTCTGGAGAAACCTTTAAAGGAATGGCAATTACATGCAATTAAACAACCTGATGCATCCACTCACCTTCCTCCTTCATCAGCCTCACCCCTGGACTGCACCTCGGACTCCCCATCGGGGGTCCCACCCCCTCCTCTTCGCTACTACTCGAAGCTGGAGAACTGCCCCTCGTAAAGCTCTTGTTATTATTACTCCTATTAAAATACAACCCGTTACTCTGCAAAAACATCTGCTGCACGCTACTATTAAACTGCTTGATCTGTGAAGCCACAGTTGCGTTCTTCGTTTTAAATTTCGACATGGTAAAGTCCAGAGGTTGGTCTGTTTCGTGACCCGCCAGCAGCATGTGACTGGGGGGTTGGTGCAGCAACATTGGCATGTCTTGGTGGTGCGGTTGGAGATGGTTCTTCCAAAACGTCGTCGACGTTTGACAGAAGTCTATGGTGTTGTTGTTGTTGTTTAGCTTCTTGGGGGTGGAATCCAGCGGCGTGGGAGATGGGGTGGACTCTACCCACCTCCTGACGGTGTCACTTTTTAAATCCAGATTCGACGCCAATTTTGACAGTTTTTTGGGTCTCGCGATAACTTTGGAACCGGAAACACTATAAATTCGAGTCTTCTATGTCACTTATACATCAGTCCTTCGCGCACGAGGAACAAAGTCACCTTGATGTTGATATGCGTGTTTTTTTTTTCGATAAAAAATGTGTGTTTTGGACGTGAATGGACATACAGAGAATGCGATAGACTGGTCAACATACACGCTGCTGTAATGTTACCGGCGCCAACGCTGCTAGCCGTATAGCGGTCGGTATTTTGCTACGTCCCTTTCAGCCGCTAAAATTCCGGTGGTGGGGGTTTCGAATCCGGGGCTTCGCCAAGGTGGGAGACCCAGAAGCGACCAATGGGAGCGCGCCGAGCCTCGATATACAATAGTACATAAATTCTATAGATTATTTATTTATTCCTCATCTTATGTATGTATTTATGTGAATATATGTATAGGAGCAAAGGATTACGTTTTTGTTGGGCTCCGGTTTTTTTTCTTCGTTTCCAGTTTTCAGTTTTAAATCAATATATCTGATAAAATGGTGTATTATAGGTACGATTCTTGGATTATGTTTATCATTGTTGGGTTTATTGATAATCAAGCTGATTTATATTATCTCTCTATAACTTTTTAGGGTATTTTTGAAGCAAATTTTTAACAATTTTACCAATAAATCAAATATTTAATAAAAATGGTATTTCTTTTGGCCATTAATTGACATGAATGTTGAAGTAGGATCTTTTTTACTAATTTTTTATTATTTTTTTATTATTGACATATTGAGTAAAATTTATTAAAATTTTTGCCTATTTTTTTAGCTGCAAATTTCCACGCCGTTTTAGAGAAAATTAAAGAAAAACATGAAAATATTGTTGTTGTAAAAATTAAAAGGCCTTTCTATGGTAATATGCTTTCAGTTTCATTCTTTTTTGATTAAAGTCATATTTTTTGCTGTTGTTAAAGTATCGTAATTTCCGATACTTAATAATAAATTTTGTGCTTCTCTTCAATATTTAAATAACAGCAAAAAAATTTACGTTAATTAAAATTCTATCAATAACAATCTATCAAAGAATGAAAACGAAATTACATCTCCAGAGAAATGCGTTTTGATTTTTAGAACGTGAACATATGGTTAAATTTTTAGAAAAAATTAAATGTTAGATAATGCGTTTTCTGCACTATTTCAAACGGAACATTTAACATCATCAGTAGATCATGATGTTCCAACCCTCAACTGTAATATATTTTACAATACTTTATCAATAAATGAAAATGGTAAGTATACACCTCCCCAAGAACCACTTCCCCCCCTTTCTTGGGTGTCTATGTTTAGAAAAAATTCTAGAATGAAAAACAGAAGCATGTTTTAAATCCGTTATTACCAAATTTATACGTTATTTTTTACCCCTAGAGAATTGATTTGAAAAAAACCAATAGACAATATACAATTATTACTGATGTCTGTGATTTGAAAAAAAAACTTTATACTTCTAGATGTGATTCATACCCTTTTAAAGCTATGTCTTTTAAATGCCTATTTTTCTTTGAGTTAATTTTATATGACTATAATCCACTGGTCACGAAGTTTTATATGCCTACATTTTTACTAACTTTACCTATGTAGGGGATCAATTGCGAAAATCTCTTCTAAGTGTTCACTCAAGGATCGTTTATGCAGAGTTTCATACTTCTATACACTAGATAGCAAGGAATTTTCGTAGAACAAATTTTCCAATACATGCAATTTTACTGCCTAAGAGGACGAATTTCCTAAAATCGCTGTGTGCAGTTAATAAACTAATGCTATGATTTATAATTTATATGTATATGTTACGGTTAAAGTGCGATGTCCGGTTAATGTCGACATTAACAGGTTAATGTTTGGGTTTGGTTTTGTTCTTGATCGTTTTGTTTTGTGTTATTCTCGAGATTAACCGGGTAATGTGATATTAACCGAATATCGGACCTTAACCCTAACATATAAGGCAAATTAAAACAAGTTTGGGTGCACGTCATCAATGACACCATGCATCGTCTTATGAAGTTTGCTGGTGGTCATATTATGATGTGCAACCAAAGTTATTTTAATTTCCCATTTCTTTCCCATTTCCCATATACTGAACTCTATTTCAAATAAAAACTAATGACTCTAAGTGACATATCACTGACAATGACAAATAATTTATTTCTAAAGGTGTCTATATTGTGTTGTTGTTTCTCAGGTGTTTTTTAATGTTTATTCGTTTTATATAAAAATACCGATTAAACGATACCAAAAAACTTCATAAACAAATATTTTATTGTATTTGATTTTCCGTATTCAATGTTTTATCCCACGTCATTGTTAGGTTCTAAATCTCATCAATATTGTAACGATGAATATTATATTAAATATTAAAAAAAGCAGAGCCGGACTTGAAATCAGTTTATATAAATTGTGTTTAAATGCCCGAAACAAAAAAAGAATATAAAGTGTGGCATATCATTGTACTCAGGAGACCGAATTCTTTCAAAACCTGAAATAAAAAATGCAGGTCCGTATTTAAAAAAATCAAGTTGACCTATGTATCTCACAAATTATCAGATACTATCTAAAATAACTATCAGATAGCCCTGACAAATGGCTATGTGATTATCGAATTAGTTTTTTGATTTTCTGAAAAGTAACAAAGAAAAAATAAAATTGATTTTCAATAAAATCCATTTTTTCCAAATAAAGGTTAATTCTCACTATACCTTCCATATCCATATCAGCTCCCTTCCGTTTCCCTTCCGTTTACATAAAATATTATATCATGTAAATGAATAGAACAATGCACGCTATACGTTCGATTTCCCTTCCGTTCAATATCCTTTCCTTCCATACATTTTCTTACATTTGTACCAGCTCTGTTAAAATTTTACTGATTCATTCTTTCAGGTCTTAATTAAATCTATTTCCTTTATCAAAAAATACAAATTTTTAAAATAAAACTTTCGTAATGATATAAATTGTACAATAAAAAGTATGGAACTGATATGGAACGGAAGCTTACGTATAGCGTCAACACAATAAAAATACGGAACGGATATGGAATGGAAACAGAAGGTATAGTGAGAATCAACCTTAACTCAGCATTCCTTGAAATGTTTAAAACTTTTTTGATGGCATCTTGGTGAACATCCCAAGGTGCAACTTTGCCCTAATTTAACCATGTTCGTATCTATTACGGTTACCAAGATACCAATGCTCATACCCTGAATTTGTAGCACCCCGTATATGGATATGAATTTTTTACTTGACTGATTTCACTAAACAAAAATTGAGCCCTTTACTTTATTTTCTTAGTTTTAATCGTACTTTGGTAGTTGTATAGGAAATCACTTATAGTATCTTAAAACAAAACGATATTGACTTTAGTTACGCTCCTGTTTAATCGGCTAGTTATACATAGTGCAAGTCCATGCAGAATAAACTGTCAATCGGGATGATAACTGGAACGAATGGCGACAAAAACGATTGATTAGTGGCCGTGATTGTGTGAAAAAGCGGCGCTGAATCTATGGTTGGAGCAGATCGTAACAGAGCAGAATTAATATCGGGCAAAAAAACGCGAACGTAATTATAGGGTACGGTATAATATCTTCACCATATCGAATAATTTGTTTTCAGGAATCCGTTTGCAAGAAGTTCGTTTTTTTTTCTGTATTAATCCTATTAAACGCTCCTATTTGCTTTTTGTCAAATCCAAAAAGACTTATAAAAATATACACGTAAGTTTCCTATAATCGATCTTCAGTTAAGCAGGTATATTCTGGAATAAAATTTAACATATACCTAAACAATTTACAGGGTGGTCCGAACTGTTTTCCGGAAACTTCTGCAGATAAAAATAAGTAAAAAAGTTCGTACAAATATATGTCCTAAAATGCTTATATAGTTTTGGAGATACAGAGGTTCCATTTTTATTTCGATTTTTTCCAAGTAATTTCTGAAGTAACGTCAATAATCGGATAAAAATTGGCGTGCCGTAGTTTTTTGACATGATAAATTTGATGATTAAAATTAAATGATTTTGATATCAATATGACTCCTACTTGTAGAGGGCGTCACTTTCATATTTTTAACTGGTTTGAAAAGTAATAACTTTTAACAACGGTACAATATACTACAGACAACTTGGACCACCCTGTGTAATAAAACTGTTATACAATTTCATCTGTCTGTAATATCTAAAAAAAGAAAATCCTTTAACACAGTCTTTTTGGCGGAAAGTCTATAGTGTTTTGTTGAACAAATTATACAAAGTGTTTCAGAAAATGTGTGCCATCTCTCGTGGAGAGATTCCTCACGTAAAAATAAAATTTATTTTTCATATCAACATAGGTCCGATTCTGCTTTGTTTTGTAGCTACAAGTGGTTAAAATAATGAGGAATCAATAAGTACTTATTTAAAACTTTCGCAAGTTCTCCCAAACCAAAGATCACGATACAATTTTTAATTGGCATTAAACGGCCTATACAATTTTGTTATTTGTTACGACACAAAAGAAACAAAAGTCAGTAGCGGATTTATAGTAACTTTTACCCTCAAAATTTCATTGGAATCACTAAAAGTACTTGGAAAAAAATTATAACAAATCGAAAAAAATAAATAAAACCAACACCCTGTAGCCACGAAACAAAGCAGAATGAGAACTATGTTTTGATATAAAAAAATAAGCCTTATTTTTACGTGAGCAATCTCGATAGATAGCACGCGTTTCTTGAAACACCCTGTAGTTAAAAATTAAACTCCCATACCTAAACTCTCGTAAAACGACACATGGCGTTAATTTCTCGAACCATCCAAGACGATGGGCGGGTGGTCCAAACTTAACTGCCACCAGCCCTTCGCTCCGGTACTGTAAAACACGCGCCGTACCTACAAAGGAAAGGGTTTCTCGATATTTCTAACCCTTCCTCTGGCACGGGACACGGCCGAACTTAACGGTAAAGGGATGAAAAGGGAAAAAAAGGGTCGTGACGATTTACATTTCCGCTTTAACGCGTGGCTCGAATTACGTAACCATTAAAAAAGATTTTTACGATTTAAAATGGCGGAAGGCGTGGCGGGTGTAGGTCCAGCACGATGAAGGGACGAAATTGGAAATTTATGTGGCGAAAAATGAGGATAATCGGTCACATTGTTGTTAAAGGGCAAGCATTTTCATAAAATAATCCGTTATCAGAGATGCAAGC